TACAGGATATAGCTATTCGCTTAAATAGTCAATTGAATATGATTGAATCTATATTACTAAATAAAACTGCATTGGATATGATAAGTATCGAATTCCAAAACATAAAAGGCTATTTTCTCACTGCAACTGAATTTAAGGCGCTGGAGGATTTGGGTGATTTGTTACACCTAATTAAAGAGCTAACAAAACCTTTTAGCGGAAAGAAGTATGTTACAATAACATTCCTGTTTCCAACACTGTGTTCTCTACTAAATGGAATACTTGAATCGCAACCTATTTTTACAGAACTAGTTAGGACTTTTAAAAAGGAATTATTAAGGTCTCTGAAAGGACGTTTGAATTACATTTTTGCTAATGATTTTTCTTAGCAGCTACTTTTCTTGATTTCAAATTTCGTAAATTTGAGTTTATCAAAAATGATATTTATAGATATGAATGCATTTCAAAGGCAAAAATGTTTATAAAAATATTTTATGAAATGTATCTAAAAGAATCCGAAGAAATCGTATAACAATTGAAACAAGTTGTTCAAATAACACTTTCAACTCGTCAAACAGTTCAGCTGACAATACCATAAAAAGATTTCAGCAATCGTCAACGTCACGTATTGCAAATAAAATTACTTTACTTAACAACAAAAGACGAAAGTCAATCAACTTAATTGAACTAGTAACAGATAAATCTTGTTGTAATTTAATTGAGAGCAATGATAAACTTGAAAAAGAAATAAAAGATTACAGTCTACAATACTTTCAGAGCTACGAAAATAGTGTCATTGAATTTTTCCAAGCTAATTAAAAATTGTTCCCAGTTTTGAAACAAATTACACAGATAATACTTTCAGTTCCAGTGACACCCGTGCCATCAGAATGCTTATTTAGTTCAACCGGTTTAATAGATACGGAACAGAGCTAATTAAAGCAGTTAGTTTTTATTAAAGAAAACAAGTAATCAAAAACGTTTCTTTATTAAACTATATTTTAGTAAAAGTGTATTTTATAAATCTTAGTAAATCAATTGATTTACTAAGATTTATAAAATCAATTGAGTTACTAAGATTTCTTATAATAAAGGACATATGTCCTTCATTATAAGAAATCACTAAAACCTAAATATTTATTATCTAACAGCTAAATATATATATATATATATATATATATATATATATATATATATATATATATATATATATATATATATATATATATATATATATATATATATTATAAATGGTTTACCGGCCAATACCCATGGTAAATTAGGCCCCTAGTTATTTAGTATAATTATGCAAATAAAATTTAAGGTATTAAAATTGCATTTATAAGTTATGCTTTTAAAATTTACAGCGTTAATTTAACGTTTTTTTTTTTGGAACAAATTTAACTTTCTAAAAAAAAGTTATTTTCCGAAATAAATTAAACTTTTCAAAATATAATTTCATTTTCGAAATTAATTTAGCTTATAAATTTCTTTTGTTTTTTTTCGAAAATAATTGCACACTTCAAAAATCTTTTTTTTTCTTTCGAAACTAGTTTCACTTTTCAAAATACACTTTTTTTTTCGAAGTTAATCTCACTTTTTCTAAATTCTTTTTTTTCTTTCGAAGTTAATTATACTTTCTGAAACTCATTTTTTTCTTTCGAAATTAATTTCGCTTTTCAAAATTCTTTTTTTTTATTCGAAGTTAATTTTACTCTACTTCTTTCTAAAACTCATGTTTTTTCTTTTGAAATTAATTTCACTTTTCGAAATACACTTTTTTTTAAATTAATTTCGCATTCTGAAATTCTTTTTTTCTTTTTAAAAATAAATTTCCCTTTTCAAAATCCACCTTTTTATTTCGAAATTAATTTCACATTTCTAAATTACTTTTTTTTTTCGCAATTAATATGGCTAGTTCGATTATTTTCGAAAGTTTTTTATATTTTGAGAAAAAAGAAGTATTACGATAACGTTTAATCGAAAAATTTCGAAAATTGCAACTTCGATAATGAACCCTAATGTAATTCTTTAAGCATATGCTTACTTTTGCATACTTTACTAATTGATATTTAATATTATTTATTTAATATTAATATAAATAAAGCAATATTTATTGTTGATATAAATAACGTAATAAAATAATTTCTCATAAATATTATTTAATACTAACATTAATGTTAGAAATAAATAATATTTATACTAAATTATAAATTATTAATAACAAACTAGCTGGGGGGACCCGTAAAATACGGGTCTTTACCGAACCGACCATTTTTATACTTATCTATAGCTATCCGGACGTAAACTAAGGGTCTTAGTAAATCTATTCCACACCGACCTTTTCTATACTTATTCCTTACCTCAATATTTTTTTAAAACCGTTTAAAATGTACATATAAAAAACTATACTTACTTTTTGATATGACAAAAACATTTCTGTTAAAATGTTCTTTTAAAAACTTCAAACGATTTTAATATTATGCCGATTATAAAAATTTTAATAAGAAAAAACGTAAAAAAGATTACGAACTTAGAAAAATGCTAAAACATTCAACACGTGACGCCGTTAAAGTACGCCTTAGTTCATAACATATACACATCTAATTAGATTTTATTTAAATTCAGTTGTTGCAAACTTGGTTTTGAATTTTCAATTACACTTCTTATGCGTTATAAATAATCTTAAATTCTAAATAGAAAATACGTTTATGGGCTAATTGGTAGACGCGCAACACTTAGACAGATATAGTCATCTCACCCCGGGAGTTCATACTCCAGTGACCTTTTTTTTTCATCCCAACTTACAACAAAAGTAATTAATAATAAATGTTATTATTGAAACAGTTTTAATCATTTCTTCCTATTTTTCTTTGAACTTAACTTTATTCACTGCAAACATACTTTTGGTGTTTGTAAGCGTTATTTTACGTTTAGTATTTGTAGGAATTATTTGCACGCACGTATTTTAAACAATTATTTTTACTGTTTCATCTAAAAATCTAATTTAATTTAGTTTAATAATTTCTTAAATATAATATATATAATATAATTTAAAATATTTTATTAACCCCATTTAAATAAGTATCAAAACTCTTTCCTTTAATTTAAAAAGAACTTAAAATTAACGTAGGCTATTACGATATTTTACCCTTTCATCAACATTTATTTAAAAAGTAAATTTGGATATAGAAAAACGGGTTAAAGACTTATTATTTTAAATAAGTTAGCTTTATCTATTTAATGCTTTTCGTAAAAGCGTTTCTTTAAAGACTCTTAACAAATCATTCAAGCTGTTTTTACTGCCTAAGTTATTAAACCTGTTGTGTGTGCCAAAAATCGATACTTAATGCAAATGGAAACTTCGAGTGCTAATGGTGATTAAAGCATAAATGGTTCCTATTCATATATAATAAAAGGAAATATAAAAGACAAAGCAAAAATGATTTTTATATCCATTTAAAACAATAAATCCCAAAATAAAAAAATATAGATATTTACTTAAAAACATATTTTTCTTGATATAAAATAAAAATATAACCTTTAGTACAAATTACAAAAAAAAATTTTATTCAACAGAGCTACTTATAATACAATTTAAATTGAATCATTGTTTCATAAATATTAAGCTTTAGGTAAGCCATAATCAAGTCAGCTATAAGAAACGGAACTAAAAATGGAACAAAGTTATTTAAACGCATAATCATACACATTAATTACAAATCAACATGTCATGCAACCAATACTTTTGAAAACTCAAAAATGCGAATAAGAAACTTACTTTTTTATTTTTACATAACCCTGACAGACCAACATGAATGTGAGCTAAATCTATTTGCATAAAACATCACAACAATTAATTAAATAGCAGAACCACCTTCAAAGGACAAAAAAATTAGTTTTTTAAGGAAAATTAGAGTTATTGGGAGGGGAGGTATTAATAAATAAAAAAGCTCAACTTGAATTTCAAAATTAGTTCATAGTTTTGTTGAGGGTTATTGAGTTATTCTGAGTTTATTATACATATTTTAAACTACTAACACCACACACTTATATTCTTAGTTCTGGAAGGTGCTACATAGAATTTGATTGTGTGAAAACCAAATCCCTTTGAGATTAACATTAACTTTATCAAATGTATGACCGTGACTTTTATTTCTAGTTAATGAGCATTGTTGATAAAGGTGTCTTTATTTAAATGATTTACTTTGATAACATTTAACATTCATGGGAAAAATTAAAAAACAACACAAAAATAAATTTACAAAAATATATTACAAAAAAAAAATGCAGTGGCTCAAAAGTTGTCAATTTCTTTACATTTTAAAATGTAAAAAAATTATTGACAACTTTTGAGCCACGTTGTCTTCTCCTCCCAGCATCCGCTCTATTCCCCGTGTTGTATGGGGTGCCATCCCTCCATCTAAAGGAGGGATGGTCGTCCCCATACAAACACCAGCGATGGAAGGCCCTCATAGATAGAGGGCCTGGATGCTGGGAGCGATACTTTCGGAAATCTTCCCATGACTTCGAGCCTGAAAAAAAAATTATATATAAATACAACTATCTACCTAGGTGATACTTACAAAAAATCTACTGTAAAAAAACAATAAAAGCAAATAATGTAATAAATTAAGTACAAGTGAGCACAACAACTTATTTATTTTACTCACTAATACTTGACTTATTACATTAACTAATTAAACTGGAAAGCACATTTGTAGCTATATTAAAAAACAAAAGGTACAATAAAAGCAATCAATCAATGTAATAAGTCAAGTAAAGGTGAATATAACAACTTACTTGTAACAGAAGAAGCAGCAGCTAGAGATAAATAAAAGAAAGTTAAAAATGCAATAAAACCAATTAATCCATAAATTAAGTCAAGTATAAGTGAATATAACAACTTACTTGTAACAGAAGAAGCAGCAGCTAGAGATAAATAAAAGAAAGTTAAAAATGCAATAAAACCAATTAATCCATAAATTAAGTCAAGTATAAGTGAATAGAACAACTTACTTGTAGCAGAAGAAGCAGCAGCTAGAGATAAATAAAAGAAAATTAAAAATGCAACAAAAACAATCAATCAATGTAAACCTCGTTGGACCTTGTAGAACATGCTTCTCGGAATGTATTAAAAACTGTACCATTAACAGTACGCAAATCTTCAAAAGAAACTGCACCTCTAACATGCAAAAGTAACATTCTAAGATAAAATATTTCACCTATTGGACTCACTTTATACATCCTAACAATCACCTTATTGCTACCTCTTTGCCTAACTTTCCATTTACAATGTTTGCTATCAAAAACAAAGTGGTAAGGAATTTCAACATATGGATAGTGTCGGGCTTGTTCATTTTCAACATTTAATTTAAACCATGCAGTTAGGTGAGTGTCACGCTGTGCTGCACGGTCTAAAGCTGCCTGTTCTTCGCCTTCTACAAAATATATCATCTGATTATCTGGCAGATGAACCTGAAGTCGAATGATGTTATGTGACATATCACTTAAAGAATACTCAAATATTCGCCACAATGCTTCTGGAGCTGAGACATAGCGACAATTTAAAAACGTGTTTATTTCATCATGGTTAACTTGCTCATTTATCACCACATTGGCACAGTCATGCCCTTTGTAAATGTACTTATATAAATACTTAACTGACTTTATGGTCATGCAGGCTTCAACATTTATGTGTGCTTGATATTTTTTAGAAAGCCATGGGTTATAAGGTACAACCCAACGGTTGTCAACTTGATTACCTTTTATATTGACAATTCTTCCATTATCGACGCGCCTATAGCGTGGATAACCATTAAAAATTGCAACAGTGTGGGGATTAAATTCCTTAGGAAATTTTTTTGTGCATTTACCATCTTTCATGCAGGGAGAATTGGGATTTAAAATTCCACATGGTCCATGTATCATGCATGATTTTATAATTTCAAAAAGTTCAGGATCAATAGCTGGGTCTGGGGTTTCTGCTGATATCAAACTATCAATATCTTCTGCTGTTTCTAGCTTATCAGCATTTACAAAGTGCAATAAAATATGTACATGTGGCAAACCACGCTTTTGAAACTCAATAACCTGCACATGACTTACAACTTTGCCTAAGACTCCATGCTTAAAAATATCCTCTAAGAAAAATTTAAGTTTCATTTTAAATACCCGACAAACTAAATTAGGTCTGTCTTTAGCAGTTTGGCCTGGGTTTAAACTTTCTACTATTTCTCTCCATTTTGGATTGCAGGTAAAAGTAATGAATAGATCTGATTTACCATATTTCTTTATGACTGCCATCGCATCTTCAAAGTTTTCTTTTAATGCTCTTAGACTACCAACATATGAAGAAGGCAATATAACAACATGGCCTGGTCTTACATTAAGATCATTAGCACGATTAATTACATGTTCATGCAATGCATCATATTGCTCACTTCTAAGTTTGTTTTGGTTATTTCTAATAAAAGCAAGGCGCTGTCCCTCAACTTTGACATATGCATCAACAACATATTGCTGAAAAAGTTTCTTACCATAGAATATAGGACTAAAAGTTTGTCTAACAGCAAGCCTATAATTATAATACTGAGACAAAGTAACATGGTTTCTAACACGGGTTGCACGGTCAGGGTTGTGCTCTAGTTGATTGTGCCATCCAGCATCACCTCTCGGGAAGAATATTGGATGTACCAAAGGATCCAAATTTGCAGACATAGACGAAATTGTTCTTAAAGGCTGACCTCGAGGGTATATAACAATTTCCCTGGATGAAGGTGGAGCACCATCATCTCCCACAAACACAATAGCAACTTCCTCATGGGAAGGAAGATTGTATCGACGTCTATCATGACCTTCAAGCAAAGACATTCTTACAACAGAGGTTGGTCTACCTTCTAAAGCTGCTTGGCGGATTTCTTCATCCTCTACTTCTGCCATGTTTTTAAATGCAAGAGCAAATGGGTTTTCTTGATTAATTAATGTTTGCAAGAGTTGCATTAACTCATGTATACAACCATCATTACCAGGTTGTTCCATTCTGAATGACACTGCTGCATTAGGATCATAGATATACAGCTGACAATATTTGGGCAGACAACCTTCTGCAGGCCTTAAATTTCCAACACGATGCAAAATTTGCCCACAGACCCTAAAACAGAAAGGGTCATTATTTGAGGGAGGAGCTATTTCGGCAGTGAAGGAAGCAAAAGATAAAGAGGAATTATAACTCCTTATGTGTTTAAAAAAATTTTGATTTACAGCATGATCAACATGGTTTCCTGTCATTAAACCAGTCAACAATGGCGGATAAAGAGAAAGAGGAGCTAATACAACTTTTCCTGAATGGCAGCACAAAAAATGAGTTTCATTTAAAAACTTCTTTGCACTGCAATACTGACAATTATGGTTTAATTCTCCGAGGTAGTTACTCTCTATAGCAATATTATTTCTTGCTATGCGATGCATATTATACCTATTAAGTTCTCGCCTAGCCTGATTTCTTTCATTTTGATTACAATTTATTACAGCTCGCCGGGGCTCATCTCTTTCAACTCGACGACGATTTATCTCAGCTCGCCGGGGCTCATCTCTTTCAATTCGACGACGATTTATCTCAGCTCGCCGGGGCTCATCTCTTTCAATTCGACGACGATTTATCTCAGCTCGCCAGGGCTCATCTCTTTCAATTCGACGACGATTTATCTCAGCTTGCCGGGGCTCATCTCTTTCAATTCGACGACGATTTATCTCAGCTCGCCTGGGCTCATCTCTTTCAATTCGACGACGATTTATCTCAGCTCGCCTGGGCTCATCTCTTTCATTTCGACGGCGGTTTATCTCAGCTCGCCTAGCCTGCCTTCTTTCATTTTGACGAAGTCTAATAATTTCATTTCTTAAATTATTAGACATAATTAGGCATCAAAGGAGTGTGTAAAAATGATGCCTAATATAATAAAAGTTGAAGTTTCTTTTTTAAACTTATCTAAAATAAAGTGTAAGCAAATAATACAGAGCATAATACTATAATCTATTATATTCTACCATATATAGCATTGTGTTAAGATAACATAGTTTTATTAAAAACTTAAACTAAAGTTATAAATTAATATAATATTTTCAACTAAGTATTGTTTATATATTTATGGTAGTTGTTATTAATTATTGACAAAATATTATAAGTATTTAATCAAAAAAAAAAAACAAAAAAAAAATGTAATTTAAAAAACAAATTTTTTACATATAAGAACTCATAAATAAAGCAAATTAAAAAAATTTAAGGCCTGTCAACTCAGCAAGTACTGCTAGCATGGAAGGATAAAATGTAATCATCCATCAACAAAACCCTTTTATTACTTTGAAAAGCATTTAACGCAAGATTTGCAATAAATAAATACAAAACTAATAAAAGAACCTCTATAAACAATCATATATTTGCTTCAAGTGAAGAAACTTGGAAATATTGAAACTTCTTTTACTATTTTAATTTTTTTTTTAGATATTTAATATTCTAAAGAAAAAGGGACAATAATTTAAGGCAAAAAAATTAAAATGTCTATACATATAATATATGTATAGACATTTTAATTCTATATATTTTATTGTGTGTGTGTCTATATATATACATATATATATATATATATATATATATATATATATATATATATATATATATATATATATATATATATATATATATATATATATATATATATTGATGTACATACAAAACATTAAAATAATAATATAAAGAAAACATTCTCTATACAAAAAATCCTAAAAATTTAACAAAAGTTATTAAAACTTATGCTTCAACACGCTGTATACTTACTTTTATATATATAAAAAAAATTTGAGTTAAACATATATAATGAAGAAAATTGAAACTCTTAAAAATTTTAATGAGGAGGAGCTGTTAGTAAAGCCTGCTTTTTAACAAAATTTATTTATTGTCAAAAGCATACATTGTTAAGAACAGAGGATAACAACATTAAAACACATTTTTTCAACAATATTTTTTCAACACATTTTAGAAATACACTAATTACAAACAGAATTAATTTATGTGTTTTATTATGACAATACACCACTCTGCTGGTGAGGACAATATTTTTGCTCTCAACAAAGCCAGGTCACATTATAGCAAAGTACACCACTTGGTTAGCAAGGTCAACAATCTTGCTGTAAACTAAGCCCAGTCACAACAATTTGAAACCATGCAAACAACATAATTATCACTTACAAACTATAAACATATTACATATAACACACCACAAACATTGAAACATTTCATAAATTTACACACTTACAAAATATAAACCCATATAACCTTAACACATATATACACAATAAAACACAATATAAATAACACACATATTTAGATAAATATATAAATTAAGAAAAATATATAAATTTGAAACTTTACAAATACAACCTTATTTTTGTTTTTTGAAATACCTCGTAATAAATGTTTAACAACTTTCAAAAACAAACTATCAAACAATCTGGTTTTTTATACGGATTTTTATAACTTCTTTTAAATAAGGTATTAAACGATCTTGTTCTTTAACATGTAACATTGAGTTGACCGTGTGAGATGCAAGTGTTTTAAACACTAACTTTATCAAGAGTTTGACCTCTTGACCTTTGAAATGAGCAACGTCTTCTTGAGTCGTCTTTTAATTTAAAAATTACAGATTAATTTTATAAATTAATAAATTTAAATACAATTGACAAAAGACTAAAATGCATGATTTAAATAAATCACCTGACTTTAAAAGTTACTTTACTAATTCAATAATAACATAATGTTCATCCTTTACTACAGAAGTTATCAAATAAAAATTGTTGATCTTATCACTAATTAAGCTGATGAAACAAAGTTTTTGATCTCATTACTGATTAAGCAGATACTGACAGATTATAAAGATTTGAAAGAGCCTCATTACGCGAGTTCAGAAGTAAAGCAATTTATAATAAAACTCAAAGGCCAAGTATGGTAAAAAAGTCCGTGTAAAGGTGCACGAATGGTGAGCAGCAGCAGCAGCAGCGGCAGTGTTAAGTTAAGTATTAATTATAAGCGATACTTTATAAACAATTTGTATATACTTTAGTGAGATGCGCATCTCACTAAAGTTTTGCAAATAGTATTCGTTATTAAATAGTAAAATATTTATTAACAAACACTAAAGGAACAAAAGGCTCAGAACTCTTCATAAATAAGAATATCTAAAAAGAGTTTTAAATTTAAAAAAATGTGTATACGTACTCTTAGCAACTCGGTTAGCAAAACGTTTAAAATTGTTTGCAGTTTAAAATACCGTTTTGCTTTTAAAATGGTTTTATTTTAAAATTTTACATAGTGTAAATTATCAAAATAAGTAAAACAAATACAAATTATTAATTATTTTAAGTTAATTATTTATTTTCAATATCTTTTCTAACTGCATTAAATTCAATATTAATTACAATTTTATATACATTTCGGGCAGAGTAAACTTGCATTTTTCATAATTGTACAACATTACACAAAAAATCGGTTTAAATTTTTTATAGGACTGTGTAACTTTACAATGTAGCTACATTGTAGAAACTTACATAGTAAATTTGCTTTATAAGATAGACCCCAGGATCATATTCTCTAAGTACAGCACATTATGGCTGTTTCCAAGATGAACAATGTCCTTGTTGTTTCTTACTTTACTATCGTCAACTTCAATTTACACATCCACTATTCGCTCCATTTTGGCGTTTTGTGGTCCGCTTCTTGGTCTTATGTGCTTTACATGGCGTAGCATTCCGTCCACCTTAACTACTTGCTCCGATATATCCTAAGTTATGGTGCCTGGACGTCATTTTGTCTCACAATGCGCCTCGGGTGGGTTTAGCCATACTCGTTCGCCGACTCAAGATGTCTTATGAACAGCCCTTGATGTATCAATTTTTTGCTCTAATCTTTAATTATCCCTTCATAGTTGTACAGTAATCCCATTGGGTTCACCCCTTTTTTTATGTGAGACATAATACCATTACAAAGCCTCTGCTATGGAAACTCTTGATCGCAGGTACTCCTCTTTCGTAAATTATGACTTGGAGATAACCTCAGAGCTTTCCTGTAGGTACGTCAGTGGACGCCAAGATTCCAACAGGAATCTTGAAGGACTACAGTCGATCAAGCTTAAGTAATGATTTCTTTTGTCATTAGTTATGTCCATGCTTAGTCTCCTCCAATTCCCATCAGATTCTAATTTTCCACGCGTCCACACAACGGATGCTGGATCAATTGATTAATACGGTTCACGCTCTCGAATTATTTTGCGTACATCTTCTTCTGTTGCAGTAGGAAACTTCTTCTGGACAATGGATAAAGTTCGTCTAACTCAAGAGTGTCCGGTCTGTTGGTGTATGACCATCATTGCTTTTTAATTGTTCACGGCAATTCTAGCGCAATTCATTGTGCTTTCAAGTTTCAACATTCTCATCCACCGATTGATAAACTCTTTAGCGAATCGGCTAAATTGTATATCTATGAAATTAGTTTTACGTTGACCTCCAAGTTATAATCGACGACTAAGTCCCGAAACATGTTTACTCTTGGTCGTATGAGCATTTTACTCGACGCTTTTGTCTTCAGTCGAGATTTACCCGTTAAAGCATTAGAAATCCAGAAAAAAGTGGTTAGAGAATCTGTAAACAACTGCAGTTTGTTGACATTCTATGCCAAAACCATGTTAACATCACGCAAGACAGAGTATTACTCTGGCATGTTTAAGTGAACTACAGATCGCCCATTTATGCAGCCATGTTGCATCTTCAACGGTGGCTCCACCGATTTAAACACGAGCTCCGTATGCTAAGAAACTGCCGTCAACCCAAACTCTACCTTGTTTGCCGCGCATTTTTCATTCTCCAAGAGCAGGGTCACTTAGTTAATTTTTTTCAGCATCTCCTCCAACGCACGTCTACCTCCTTCTTTATAGATCTCATTATCCCATCCAGTTTTCATAGAAACCACGTTTTGTTTCAAAAGACTGCAGACAACACGCAACCAACTGCACACTGGTAAATGACTCACAAATTGTCCACAAATAGAAAACGCCGTCCTTCTTGATAGTTTATCAGCAATATTACTCATTTGATTTTCTCTCAATCACATCAGTTTCTCACCAATCTTCTGCACTGTTAGTCCAAGCACTCGCGTTCCGTCAGCATCAATTTTCTCACCATCAATACTTTAGGTTCAAAAAAAAAAAAATCCTTAACGTGCAAAACAATCCTTTAACGTGCAAAAAATTTTTTTTTCAGTTCGTTACACTAAATTACAAAGAATTGTTCACTTTCAACGAACTTCACTCGAATGAATATTTGATTTTGCTTTAAAAGTGTTGAGGAGTGGCTAGTGGTTTTATATTGCTTAATGATACTGGGTAACAAGTTATGGGCTTCTGTAGCGAATTCTGTTATTTATTAAAAACAAAAAGGTAAAATAATTAAAAGAAATCTACATAAAAGATTTGGATTAACGATTGTGAATCTTGAGGTTTATAATAAACGTTATTTTAATTGATTTCTGACTATTTCAAGTTGATATGATGCTTGGAAAGTGTTTCGTTAAGTTAATAGTTTAATAATGCATGTACAAAACGAGACCTATATTTGTATTTTTATATTTATGTTTTTTCATTTAGTTCATTTTGTTTTTACTATTGTAAATGTTTAAAATAAAAAATCTAAAGATAAATAAAATTAGATTATAATTCTTTTTTCAAAAAAGTTAATATTTTAATGTAGAAGGCGATTTCATTTTCAAAAAAGAAAATGTTTTAACGACTAAGGTCTCGACAATAGTTGGAATAAGTGTCGGAGTTGGTATAATTTTTGTTGGATTGTTAGTTGCAAGTTACTGTTTGGGTTATTACAGGTATTAGATTATCATTTTACAAGGAAAATTAAATTTAGTTATCAATTTAAAATATATTTTTTTTAAATTAGGAATTAAAAAAAAATTGTTAATAATAGAGTTTAAAAAATCATTATTTATTTTTAAGGCATAAGAAGCTGACGAATAAAAATAAAAAAGTAAGTTTATTAAATAATCAAAGTTTTTATCTTTGCTTACATTTTGAAATTTCTTATCACAAATAAATACGCAAATTTTTAATGTTTTTTATGTTTACAAAAACAATGTTGTAAAGCAATAGTAAAATTAGGAAAAAAATAAAGTAGAGGAAAATAATAACAGTGAAATTATTTTACATTATTAATACGTTTAGGCTTTTAAAAATTGCGTTTACAATTGTTAAATGCAATAAAAATTTTTATTAAAGTGGTTGGAGTACATGCTTCAGAATCAAGTGATCTAACGTAAGATGTAAGTTTTGTTCATAATTGCGGCATTTGTATAGAATGCGGCATAAACTTTTGTGTCGCTCTCTGATTAGAGAGATAACCACGATCTTGTCAGCTGATAAGAATTTTTATAAATAAACAAAATTGAAGATTAAAAAACTAATTTAACTGCATTCCAATTAAACTGCTTGTTTTATAACAAAACTGTTCGATGTTCGAATTTTGAATTTTTAACTTTTATTCTAAATTCGAAATGTTTATTAAACAAGTTATAAAAACAATAAACTTTTAAAGTTAATTATTTACTATGCGCAGCGCCGACCTTAGCTTTTTTGACAGGTTGGGCAAAACTTGTGAACGCGCCCCTAGGTATATATGGGTGGGTTGTTACCATTAACAACGAGACCAATGCTCTAAAATGATGAACAAGAGTGCTAAAGGGAATATATAGTTTAATGCAAAGAGATCCATATTGTGCATCAAGTTTCTTATTTAATTAATTTTTGATTAAAATTATAAATTTAGACTTTTCATGATATGGGTTTATAGAAATAAGTGACTAAATAAATAGACAACGCAACGCTGCTTTTAAAATAACAAATGTTTTTATTAAACATATAATAAATCCTCTAACTATATAAACAAGAGTTATTAAATTTTAAAATCTAACTTTTCTAGCTTTTTTGTCCGCGAAATCTCTTATCAAACTAGAAAAATCTAAATTTTCAGCTATATCTTGCTCGATTGATAACATAGATAGAGAATTAAGTCGATCTTGCAACATGGTATTTCTTAAATATGTTTTGATTAACTTCAGTTCAGAAAAACTACGTTCTCCACTAGCAACAGTTGTTACTGTTGTATTGTAAGAAGAATGCGCAGAACAATCCATGCGCAGAACAATCCATGCGCAGAGCAATCCATTTGAATATAACTTGTTGACAATGTTTTTTAATAAAATTCAGTACAAAAAGTGGTGTCATCTCTTTTGTATTTATTTCATTTTCAACATTGCTTAATTTATCTTTAATAAAAAACTGCACACTTATTAGTTCGTCGCATAGCAAAGCACCATCAATTTCTGATTTTGTATTTACAGTTAATTTTTCTTGTAATTGTTTACACAATTTAAAAAGTTCATTCTTGATGGGCAAATTAATCAAATTAAATAAAAAACTCCATATATTTACATATTCATTAAGTTGTTCAAATAATTCATTTATTGACGACAGACATGTATCTAATAAAGGGTTTAAAAATGTCACTTCTAGTTTCTTCTCGGGATTTTGAATTGGTTCGTCAGCAGCATTTTCATCATAAGGACGTTTCACTTGTCGTACTCTATTAAGCGGCTTAAATATTGCATCGATGTTTAACTCCTCAGCTAACTCTTTGGGATCAACCGTTGCTTGTTTAAAGCCAAACATCCTGTAATTTTCCAAAAATGTGATGCATTTTTTCAACACTGTACTAGATCCATGTCTTTGGCTTGCATTGCTTTACTAACAACGTTTATTTGGAATAGTACATTGTACCATGCAATTAAAGAAACTAAAAAACTATAGTCTTTTAATTGTTCTGCTAATGTTTGCGCATCGTGTGCAATATTGGGAGTTTTGGTTTCAGTTTCATATATAGTAATTAAAGCATCATGTACGCTGCTTATTTAGTATTGGATGGCTTTGAGGCTCTCAATTTTGGCTTCCCAATGAGTGTCGCATAATCGACACTCATTGGGAAGCCAAAATAGAGCGATGTTTGTTGTATGACTAAGTAAAACATTCCAGCGTGAAGTTGATGCAGAAAATAATGTGAATAATCTTTGTATTATGCCAAAAACGTTAATGGAATTTAGTGAAGACTGCGCTGCGTCACAAATTGAGAGAATGGCTTCCACATGGAAGGTAAAAAGCCAAATGATTCAAATCTAATATTCGCTTTTGTAGACCTATTTTTTTACCTTTCATATTTGCACCGTTATTGTAACCTTGCCCTCGACAAAAGCTTATATTCAGTCCAAAATCTCTGGTTGATGTATCACTAAGTACATGCGCAACATTTTCTCCTTCCTTTATTTTATTACAATCACTATTTAGGTTGACTAAACAGTGATTGTAATAAAATAAATTGTAATAGTGATTGAAAAATTTAGGTTGACTTATTTTTTCTATTTATTATATTGTTAAAGTTTGCATACAACGTTCGGCGCCCCAGTTTCCTGGCGCCCTTGGGCGGTGACTAACCTCGCTCCCCCCCCTCCTAAGGCCGGCACTGACTATGCGGTTGATATTAATGTACCAGTCATAACTTTTTTTGGAACAATATGTTAGATTTTTTTTTTTCTGTATCCAGTTTCAAAAGGTGGTCAGAGACTTTCTAATCACTGTATATATGGGCATTAAAGTTGAAAAGACTTTGTCCAACAATGTGGTCTTCTTGAGTAGATGCAGTCCGTGCTGTAATAAATCGGAATGTTGACATTCTAATTTACCTTAATAGTTCAAACAAGACGGAGTGGGGCGATGCCATTGGTCTTTGAATGCCGTTAGAAAGTTTGAATTCATTGTATTTATTTATTGTTGTTTTGGAAAGATTTTTTTGTGCAAATAATAAAACTTTTGTCGAGCTCAAAAAAAAACAAATAAATCTTTCTTCTTAAACTATTTAACTTTCAACGGCCGATAAAGATTTCTAACTTACCCGTAATTTATGAGAGAGCATAATTTTAACTTTAAAAGCACTAGCAAAAAACAGGAACACCACCAACCCTTTTTCAAAAATCTGAAAGAGAAATGCCAGATTGTTTCATGATTACTTACAGAAGATCATATATTGAAGATGGCAAACTTTTGTTTAAGGTGATTGTTTTTTTTTCCGCAGTCACGCTTCCAGGGCCACAAAGAGGTTACTGATTTGTTTAAATTTTTGTATTCTTGTCATCTTAAGAGTTTGTCGCATACTGAAATGGAGCTTGCTGCAAAAAAATTTTAGAAATCATACCCTATTAATGGGAATGGTAATCTCGTACAAGAACTTTGCTCATATCAACAAAATTTCAAGAGGACTTATGCAAAATGAAGACCATTTGAGATATTTTGCAACTTCTAATCAAATTAAAACTAATTGCTTCAATGCATTTATTAGCAACTGTATGTGTTCTCTCTGCGATACTTCCAGAGACTATTTACTATGCTTTATTTGTAAGATAAACTTAACCCCAATATTTTTTCAAAATTTATATGCAATAAAGCCAAGAAACAAATATGAATTAAGAAATAACAATCTTAATCATCAACATTATTTGCACACAAATTTTGCAAGATCTCTTATATCATATCGCGGAGCTTTTCTGTGGAACCAAATAGTGTTAAAAAACTTTGATTTTTCTAAAAATTGTAGTTTTCTTACTTTCAAAAATAAACTGAAAAAAGTTATCTTGACAATTGATAACATCTTCGAGTTTTTTTGAATATTTTATTTAAATATTTAGTTTTATTACATATTTTGACATTTTATAACGGTATTCTATGTTTGGTTTTGGCTTATTAAAAATCTTGTATTGTAAATATCGGTATTTTGTTTTTATATTTATTTTGTATCGCATTGTTAAACGGTTTTCGGTGACAGGATCTTGCCATCCTCTTTAAGTTTCCGTGTTCTTTTTATTTTATGTAAAACAATATTATACTAAATAAAATTGTAATTAAAAAAAAAAAAAAAAAAAAAAAAAGACTGTTGCATTGCATAAACGCATGATTTCATGAAGAAAAAAAAATCACGCGCAAACAAATTTGTTGAAGAAAAAGTTTCTTCATAAATGGTTTTCATATTAGATAGTGGTTGATAATAAACACTTCCAGTGTCCCTTACGGTTGTGTAATGTTGTAATATATTGAAGCAAAAATATTAAACTAAATTTTGCTTAATTTATAGAGTTTTGAATGAGGCTTTAAAAAATTAGGGCCTTTAAATATTTTTGTCCGAAGGGCTCCCTAGTTTGTTGTTACTCAATTGATTGGTACAAGGATAATTTGTACTAAGATCATCGGTATTAATTTTATTAGAACTAGAATTATCGGTACAAAGTGATGTAGTTTTTCAATAACCTAAATATTCATATTTTTTTTTCCATTATATATTAACAGGCATATGTAAAAAATTATAGTTATATTTGTTTAACTTTTGTTTTATAAATATTATCAAATTTTCTCTTAAGGGTTAATTAAAGAACAAAGTATTATGTACTGACGTATATTTTATTTTAAATAACTTTAATTAATTTTATATAATTATTTATTTCTTTGAACTTATCTAGATTTTTTTGATAAATAATCTTTAAAATCTGTTTTCGATTTTCTCAAACACAAAAACTTTTTGTCTCCGATTCTGAGGGTGTGATTTTTACAAACCATTGGACTTGTACTAAGGTCGCAAATTTTTGTACAATCCAAATGTTTCGTTTCGCATCATCTTCTGTAACACTGAAGTGTTTGTTAAAAATCAGAATTTTCTTGTAATAAACTTTTAAGTCTAAATCTATTTTATTTTGACAAGTTTTTGTTTGTTTTACTAAACCAAAAACAACAAAAATAAACCAGTTTTCACAAGCAATTGGTTTGTGAAATTAGTTTCACAAAAGTATTATATTTTACTGAAAAAGAATTTATTTCTTTTTATAAACTTTCTTTATGCTAAAATCCTCGCGTTTCAACAGTTTAATCAAAAGAATT